TTCTCCTAGCACAGCGATCTCACCCTGTTCTATTGTGAAGACCTCTTGGAACCTCTTGTTGAGTTCATCACACACCTCTTTGTCATTCTCTGTATACCTGTCCTCGCCTGTTCTAAGTTTCAATAGCTGTTCTTTCACTGTTGTTTTCCTTCTGATGTGACTGTGGAGTAGCTTTGGTTCGGTCTTGGCTTTGTTTGCTCTGGAGGGTTATTAAGGCCTATCAACCTCTGGAGGGTTATTAAGGCCTATCAACCTCTGGAGGGTTATTAAGGCCTATCAACCTCTGGAGGGTTATTAAGACCCTATCAACCTCTGGAGGGTTATTAAGGCTATCAACCTCTGGAGGGTTATTAAGGCCTATCAACCTCTGGAGGGTTATTAAGGCCTATCAACCTCTGGAGGGTTATTAAGGCCTATCAACCTCTGGAGGGTTATTAAGGCCTATCAACCTCTGGAGGGTTATTAAGGCCTATCAACCTCTGGAGGGTTATTAAGGCCTATCAACCTCTGGAGGGTTATTAAGGCCTATCAACCTCTGGAGGGTTATTAAGGCCTATCAACCTCTGGAGGGTTATTAAGGCCTATCAACCTCTGGAGGGTTATTAAGGCCTATCAACCTCTGGAGGGTTATTAAGGCCTATCAACCTCTGGAGGGTTATTAAGGCCTATCAACCTCTGGAGGGTTATTAAGGACCTATCAACCTCTGGAGGGTTATTAAGGCCTATCAACCTCTGGAGGGTTATTAAGGCCTATCAACCTCTGGAGGGTTATTAAGGCCTATCAACCTCTGGAGGGTTATTAAGGCCTATCAACCTCTGGAGGGTTATTAAGGCCTATCAACCTCTGGAGGGTTATTAAGGCCTATCAACCTCTGGAGGGTTATTAAGGCCTATCAACCTCTGGAGGGTTATTAAGGCCTATCAACCTCTGGAGGGTTATTAAGGCCTATCAACCTCTGGAGGGTTATTAAGGCCTATCAACCTCTGGAGGGTTATTAAGGCCTATCAACCTCTGGAGGGTTATTAAGGCCTATCAACCTCTGGAGGGTTATTAAGGCCTATCAACCTCTGGAGGGTTATTAAGGCCTATCAACCTCTGGAGGGTTATTAAGACCTATCAACCTCTGGAGGGTTATTAAGGACCTATCAACCTCTGGAGGGTTATTAAGGCCTATCAACCTCTGGAGGGTTATTAAGACCTATCAACCTCTGGAGGGTTATTAAGGCCTATCAACCTCTGGAGGGTTATTAAGGCCTATCAACCTCTGGAGGGTTATTAAGACCTATCAACCTCTGGAGGGTTATTAAGGCCTATCAACCTCTGGAGGGTTATTAAGACCTATCAACCTCTGGAGGGTTATTAAGGCCTATCAACCTCTGGAGGGTTATTAAGGCCTATCAACCTCTGGAGGGTTATTAAGGCCTATCAACCTCTGGAGGGTTATTAAGGCCTATCAACCTCTGGAGGGTTATTAAGACCTATCAACCTCTGGAGGGTTATTAAGGCCTATCAACCTCTGGAGGGTTATTAAGGCCTATCAACCTCTGGAGGGTTATTAAGGCCTATCAACCTCTGGAGGGTTATTAAGACCTATCAACCTCTGGAGGGTTATTAAGACCTATCAACCTCTGGAGGGTTATTAAGACCTATCAACCTCTGGAGGGTTATTAAGACCTATCAACCTCTGGAGGGTTATTAAGGCCTATCAACCTCTGGAGGGTTATTAAGGCCTATCAACCTCTGGAGGGTTATTAAGACCTATCAACCTCTGGAGGGTTATTAAGACCTATCAACCTCTGGAGGGTTATTAAGACCTATCAACCTCTGGAGGGTTATTAAGACCTATCAACCTCTGGAGGGTTATTAAGACCTATCAACCTCTGGAGGGTTATTAAGGCCTATCAACCTCTGGAGGGTTATTAAGGCCTATCAACCTCTGGAGGGTTATTAAGGCCTATCAACCTCTGGAGGGTTATTAAGGCCTATCAACCTCTGGAGGGTTATTAAGGCCTATCAACCTCTGGAGGGTTATTAAGGCCTATCAACCTCTGGAGGGTTATTAAGACCTATCAACCTCTGGAGGGTTATTAAGACCTATCAACCTCTGGAGGGTTATTAAGACCTATCAACCTCTGGAGGGTTATTAAGACCTATCAACCTCTGGAGGGTTATTAAGGCCTATCAACCTCTGGAGGGTTATTAAGACCTATCAACCTCTGGAGGGTTATTAAGACCTATCAACCTCTGGAGGGTTATTAAGACCTATCAACCTCTGGAGGGTTATTAAGACCTATCAACCTCTGGAGGGTTATTAAGGCCTATCAACCTATCAACCTTGGAGGGTTATTAAGACCTATCAACCTCTGGAGGGTTATTAAGGCTTATCAACCTCTGGAGGGTTATTAAGACCTATCAACCTCTGGAGGGTTATTAAGGCTTATCAACCTCTGGAGGGTTATTAAGACCTATCAACCTCTGGAGGGTTATTAAGGCTTATCAACCTCTGGAGGGTTATTAACCCACTGGTCCGAACAAGCACCCACTGGTCCGAACAATCACCCACTGGTCCGAACAATCACCCACTGGTCCGAACAAGCACCCACTGGTCCGAACAAATACCCACTGGTCCGAACAAGCACCCACTGGTCCGAACAAATACCCACTGGTCCGAACAAGCACCCACTGGTCCGAACAAATACCCACTGGTCCGAACAAGCACCCACTGGTCCGAACAATCACCCACTGGTCCGAACAATCACCCACTGGTCCGAACAATCACCCACTGGTCCGAACAATCACCCACTGGTCCGAACAAGCACCCGCTGGTCTGAACAAGCACCCACTGGTCCGAACAATCACCCGCTGGTCCGAACAAGCACCCACTGGTCCGAACAAGCACCCGCTGGTCCGAACAAGCACCCACTGGTCTGAACAAGCACCCACCTTCTTGTTCCTGACCATAACGATGATAACAACCAGGTTGTTGAAGATACCGAAGGTAGCGATGAAGAGGAGACAGAAGGCTGTGATGTAGTAGCCTTCCTCAGACAGCCTGTTGCTGGGGGAGAGACCCGTCGTGTTCCCTGCACTCTCCGACCACCACCCGTCCGCGGGGGAGACAGGGCCGTCCGTCCCAGCGTCCGCCGACATTCTCACGATTTTCTGGGCCGCGTGTTTTTTCTGTCTTGATTGTCCACACGAGCGTCGGGTTATTGTGTGTGTTTGTGTTTTTTATTTGTTCATATGGGCGCTTCCTGTGCTGTTTTTGTTTGTTTTGGCTTTGTCCTGGTCAGATCTGAAGCGTTCAGACTTTGTTGTGATCTGCCCTAAAAACACACACACACACACACACACCACGGAGCACCGAACGGCGGCCAGTGAGGCAGGCGGTCTATCAACCGCACCGCTTGACACCTAAGAAAGTCTCGAGCCCCAAAACATGCTCAGAGCTCCCTAGTGGAACTTGCCATCCCCCTTGTCAATATTTTGACAAGTTTAACTGGTCATTTACCCACTTGACCGACCCGTTAACGAAGCTGTCAGGGACTGATGTTGACTGCTTACACTTACCGAGCTGACGAGCTCCTAGACATTGATAATAATTGTAATTCCATCTGTAATTAACCTGACATGATTCGCTCCCTGTCAACCAATGACGCTACTGGTCTGACACGTCTGTCACGGCGTTGACAGTCATGTGAGTCTGTCAGTCTTAGGCTGTTTACACTCTCGTAAGACTATGTAATGTTGATGTTTTCTCTTGGTGAAGAGCATGTGTGTTTATGTCTGTGAGAGTGTATGAGGAGCTGTATAACCGTCTGTCTGTATTGTAGGAGTGTGTATAAGGATTGTATTTCTTAGTGACAACTGTATGAATGTATATAAGTACTGTATATGTATGTGAAGGACTGTATAAGTAACCAGGGATGGTATAGGCTCATACAAGCCTTGTATACATGAGTATAAGGCTTGTATACATGAGTATAAGGCTTGTATACATGAGTATAAGTATTGTATACATGAGTATAAGGCTTGTATACATGAGTATAAGGCTTGTATACATAAGAATAAGCCTTGTATACATGAGTATAAGGCTTGTATACATAAGAATAAGGCTTGTATACATGAGTATAAGGCTTATATATACATGAGCATAAGGCTTGTATACATGAGTATAAGACTCGTATACATATGTATAAGACTCGTATACATATGTATAACACTCGTATACATATGTATATGGCTTGTATACATGAGTATAAGGCTCGTATACATCAGTATAAGACATGTATACATATGTATAAGACTTGTATACATATGTATAAGACTTGTATACATATGTATAAGACTTGTATACATATGTATAAGACTTGTATACATATGTATAAGACTTGTATACATGTATAAGACTTGTATACATATGTATATGACATGTATACATCAGTATAAGACTTGTATACATCAGTATAAGACTTGTATACATATGTATAAGACGTGTATACATATGTATAAGGGAAGAGAGACTAACGAGGCCCTTCACGACGACACACTCACGAGGGTCATCACTCGGGGTCAATATTAACTGTTATTGGAAATTTTTTCTCGGAAATGTGTTTGACTTTATTGTATGTAGTCGGGGGGGCGGGGTGAGTAAGATAGAGGAGGGGTGAGTAAGATAGAGAGGGGGTGAGTAAGATAGAGAAGGGGTGAGTAAGATAGAGGAGGGGTGAGTAAGATAGAGAGGGGGTGAGTAAGCCAGAGAAGGACTGAGTAAGATATAGAAGGGATGAGTAAGATAGAGAAAGGGTGAGTAAGATAGAGAGGAGATGAGTAAGATAGAAAAAGTTTGCATAAGATAGAGAGGGGGTGAGTAAGATAGAGAAGGGGTGAGTAAGATAGAGGAGGGGTGAGTAAGATAGAGAGGGGGTGAGTAAGCCAGAGAAGGACTGAGTAAGATATAGAAGGGATGAGTAAGATAGAGAAAGGGTGAGTAAGATAGAGAGGGAGTAAGATAGAGAGGGGTGAGTAAGATAGAGAAGGAGTAAGATAGAGAGGGGTGAGTAAGATAGAGAGGGGTGAGTAACTTAAAGAAGTGGTGAGTAAGATAAAGAGGGGGTGAGTAAGATAAAGAGGGCGTGAGTAAGATAGAGAAGGGGTGAGTAAGATAGAGGGCGTAAGATAGAGAGGGGTGAGTAAGATAGAGAAGGGGTGAGTAAGATAGAGGGGTGAGTAAGATAGAGAATGGGTGAGTAAGTTAGAGAGGGGTGAGTAAGATAGAGAATGGATGAGTAAGTTAGAGAGAGGGTGAGTAAGATAGAGAAGGAGAAGTAAGATAGAAAGAGGTAAGATAGAGAGGGGCTGAATAAGATAGAGAGGGGTGAGTAGGATAGAGAAGGGGTGAGTAAGATAGAGAGGGGATGAGTAAGACAGAGAGGGGTAAGATAGAGAGGGGTGAGTAAGATAGAGAGGGATGAGTAAGATAGAGACGGGGTGAGTAAGATAGAGAAGGGGTGAGTAAGATAGAGAAGGGGTGAGTAAAATAGAGAAGGGGTGAGTAAGATAGAGAAGGGGTGAGTAAGATAGATAAGGGGTGAGTAAGATAGAGAAGGGGTGAGTAAAATAGAGAATGGGTGAGTAAGATTGAGAAGGGGTGAGTAAAACAGAGAAGGGGTGAGTAAGATCAAGAGAGGGATGAGTAAGATTGAGAAGTGGTGAGTAAGATAGTAAAGTAGTAAGATAGAGAAGGGGTGAGTAAGATAGAGAAAGGGTGAGTAAGATAGAGAAGAAGTGAGTAAGATAGAGAAGGGGTAAGATAGAGAAGAGGTGAGTAAGATAGAGAAGAAGTGAGTAAGATAGAGAAGGGGTGAGTAAGATAGAGAAGGGGTGAGTAAGATAAAGAAGTAAGATAGAGAAGGGGTGAGTAAGATAAAGAAGAAGTGAGTAAGATAGAGAAGGGGTGAGTAAGATAAAGAAGTAAGATAGAGAAGGGGTGAGTAAGATAAAGAAGAAGTGAGTAAGATAGAGAAGGGGTGAGTAATATAGAGAAGAAGTGAGTAAGATAGAGAAGGGGTAAGATAGAGAAGAGGTGAGTAAGATAGAGAAGAAGTGAGTAAGATAGAGAAGGGGTGAGTAAGATAGAGAAGGGGTGAGTATAGATAGAGAAGAAGTGAGTAAGATAGAGAAGGGGTGAGTAAGATAGAGAAGGGGTGAGTAAGATAAAGAAGTAAGATAGAGAAGGGGTGAGTAAGATAAAGAAGAAGTGAGTAAGATAGAGAAGGGGTGAGTAAGATAGAGAAGGGGTAAGATAGAGAAGAGGTGAGTAAGATAGAGAAGAGGTGAGTAAGATAGAGAAGGGGTGAGTAAGATAAAGAAGTAAGATAGAGAAGGGTGAGTAAGATAGAGAAGGGATGAGTAAGATAGAGAAGGGGTGAGTAAGATAGAGAAGGGGTGAGTAAGATAGAGAAGGGGTGAGTAAGATAGAGAAGGGGTGAGTAAGATAGAGAAGGGGTGAGTAAGATAGAGAAGGGGTGAGTAAGATAGAGAAGGGGTGAGTAAGATAGAGAAGGGGTGAGTAAGATAAAGAAGTAAGATAGAGAAGGGGTGAGTAAGATAGAGAAGGGGTGAGTAAGATAGAGAAGGGGTGAGTAAGATAGAGAGTTCCAAGAGTTATTGATGTGTCCGGTTGTGTACAAAAAAAATGTACAAATTTAAATATAATTGTTTGACTGATGATAATTTTCTGTGATGATTACAAATTATACGTTTTCTTTTCTATATAAAGTTTTCCTGGATTTCTAGCAGAAATGAATGTGTATTTATTTGAGAAAATTTCACAAGGTATAAATGGAAGTTTTGCAATTTCTTTTTCAAAATTTATAGATAAAGTTTTGAAAACAAAATGTGTTACACAATGCGACACAATCTGAAGCTTTGAGAGTTCTGGCGTGAAAGATAAGCTTTGTTTGTAAACAAAAATTATCACTTGGGTGCCACGTGGGAAGCCGGGGAGAGAGAGCGGCGTATAACCTCCCACTCCGACGGCTGGAAGGACACTGACCTAGAGTGGCCAGCGGGGCCAGGCGCTAGGAACTGTGTTTACATCTTGCCTCGCGACTCCTCATGATCTTGGAGACGACTCTGGTTCAGCCTTGACGACGGACGCCTCCTCCGCCTGGGAGCCGCCGGATCACTTTCTGTTTCGCGGGTCTGGGGTTTGACACTGTCGTTTGGTCCGTGCCTATTCAATGGTCGGGATTGTTACGGTGACTGGCGCACATGTAGCCTCGGGGCACTGGATAGTTGATGGATTTTGAACGTTTTCTGCCTTTTGGGAGGTGGGGAGACGGTGTCCGGGTTGGCCGAGAGTTGGTGGGTCTTGGTGGCCCCTGGTGGGTCTTGGTGGGCCCCTGGTGGGTCCCTGGTGGGTCTTGGTGGGCCCTGGTTGGTCTTGGTGGGCCCCTGGTGGGCCCCTGGTGGGTCTTGGTGGGCCCCTGGTGGGTCTTGGTAGGCCCTGGTGGGTCCCTGGTGGGTCTTGGTGGCCCCTGGCGGGCCCTTGGTGGGCCCTGGTGGGTCTTGGTGGCCCCTGGTGGGCCCTGGTGGGTCTTGGTGAGCCCCTGGTGGGTCTTGGTGGGCCCCTGGTGGGTCTTGGTGGGCCCCTGGTGGGTCTTGGTGGGCCCCTGGTGGGTCTTGGTGGGCCCCTGGTGGGTCTTGGTGGGCCCCTGGTGGGTCTTGGTGGGCCCCTGGTGGGTCTTGGTGGCCCCTGGTGGGTCTTGGTGGGCCCTGGTGGGTCTTGGTGGGCCCCTGGTGGGTCTTGGTGGCCCCTGGTGGGTCTTGGTGGGCCCCTGGTGGGTCTTGGTGGCCCCTGGTGGGTCTTGGTGGGCCCTGGTGGGTCTTGGTGGGCCCCTGGTGGGTCTTGGTGGCCCCTGGTGGGTCTTGGTGGGCCCTGGTGGGTCTTGGTGGGCCCCTGGTGGGTCTTGGTGGGTCTTGGTGGGCCCCTGGTGGGTCTTGGTGGGTCTTGGTGGGCCCCTGGTAGGCCCCAGTGTTGTGTGTGGCGGTGCTTGTCCCCCTGGGGGACTCCTGGGGCTCCCCAGTCACCTGTGTGGTGGTGCTTGTCCCCCTGGGGGACTCCTGGGGCTCCCCAGTCATGTGTG